GTGTATACGCCCTCCTGCCTTGCGCAAGAAGGCATATACACCGATCCTGGGCCCAGGGTGATCCTGACCAGGATCGGTGTTGGTGTATAGTTGGTGCCCTCCGATACAGGGGGATGTTGGACGACAAATAAAAAATGCGCAAAGCATGCGGTCAAATCGTCAAACATGTTTTTTATCGTGTAAACAAAAAATCGTCCTGGACTATGGTTCACTAGCTTTGCCTGCTCCTAGTGCAATGTCGGGCATGTCCGCCCACAGGCGGGTTGTGGACGAAAAATGAAACATAGTCCAACAATGCCCCAACATTTTCAAAAAATGATTGTAAAATCGTCCCCTGATTATTTTTTGACTGTCTCTGAATATCTCTCCTGTAGAAGGACAAGCCCGCCCTTGCCTCCTGTCGGGCGTTGGCAGAACTGGGTTTAACGGGACCTGGTTCTGTGATGTGCCATGAGGGGCGCCCATCCGCCCCGTTCCACCAACCGGAACTGCCGTCCCTCGAAAAACACACGAGCTGCGGCAGACATGGCTTCGTGATTCTGGCCAGTTTAGGGTCTCCGAGGCCCTACCACTAACCAGATCCCCTTACCTGGGGTCCTGGCTACACCCTGCGAAATGCTTTAGACATCATGGGTTAAGAAATTCATAGTCTCAGAATTTGAATAAAAACCCAGAATGTCTATTCGAATCTTGGGATTTACATTGAAACATTAAGAATAATCGAGACTCTGGCCGAAAGCTTGGGTTTTCTTCAGCATCGCCTAGACTGTATATCCGACCCTGCTGGGGGCGACCAGCAGCGCCGCCGGGTCGATGGCGCAGCTCTGGGGCCGCCGCCTCTGGCGCCGCAGCCGGCATCGAGCGCCGTCTCCGAGAGAAGGCCGGTTCGGAGCTGGAGGGGGGAGGAGGAGGAGGAGGAGGAGGAGGAGGAGGAGGAGGAGGAGGAGGAGGAGGAGGAGGAGGAGGAGAAAGAGGAGGGAGAGGAGGAGGGAGGAGGAGGAGGAGAGGAGGAGGAGGAGGAGGAGGAGGGGGAGGAGGAGGAGGAGGAGGAGGAGGAGGAGGAGGCAAGACTAGACCTAAAAAGGTCGTGCACTACGAATTCACGACACGGTGCCCCCCAGGATCCCTCCTTAGCGTAGGGTTTAACCCCAGGCTCAGCCCACGCCGACCTGGGCCATGAAGTCCGCCTCCAGGCCGAAGGCGGCGTCCATGACGTGCTCAGCCCCCGCACGCCGCGCCCGCCGCTGCGTCCCCAGGGGCGCGCGGGCCGCGGCAGCGTCCCGAACTGTCTGCCGCCTCGCCCGCAGCCGCCTCCACGCCGAAGGCGCGGGCGAGGGCGGCGCCCAGGCGAGCTCAGCCGCTCCGCGCCTCGGTGGCCTCCGCGTGGGAAGCCGCGCGGACACCAGCGAGCTCGCCGATGAGCTCCCGAGGGCCCCCGCCGTGATGGACCAGTCGAGGGCGCCGCCGACGACGCAGTCCATGTGCCGCGGGGGCGGCCGGGGGGGCGGCCAGCCGCGAGACGGCCAGGCCCCCTACCCCCATGGCCCGCTGCCTCCCCCGCGGCCTCCGGGCCCCAGGCCAGCCTCCGCGGCGCGCCGCTGGAGCCGCGCGGCCCGGAGCGCCACCCACTCCGCCTGGAGCGCGGCCTGGCGGTCCCCCGCGGGCGGCGCGAACGCCACCAGCGCACCGCCAGCCGCCGCCGCCGCACCGGCAGCGCTCCCCGCGGCGGCGGCACCAGCAGCAGCGGCTCCAGCGCAGGGCGCCTCCGCCTCCGTGCCAGTGCGCCGCAGCCGCCTCCGCGCGGCGCGCGAAGGCGGCACGTCCGCCCACTCCTCGTTGAAGTCCGAGCCCTCTTCGACGCCCATGGGCACGCTGCATGCCCGCTCCGGCGCCGCCACCGCCCGCCACCGCGAGCGCGCCGCCGCCTCCACGTCCAGCATCTCGAGCCTCGTCTCGCCGCCGTTGCGCGAGGCGCTGGCGGCGTCGCCTGTGCCGCTCCAGCTTGGCCGCAGAGGCGGCAGCGGGAGCAGCAGCAGCAGGACAAGCTCCAGGAAGCGCGTCGGCGGCTGCAGGCGCCGCTGGCCGCTCGCGCAGCGCGAAGAGCGCTGCGCTCACTGCCGAGCGCGCCACGGCCGCCACCGTGCGCCTTGGAGCCTTTGCAGTCACGGCTCCCCGCACAGCCGCCTCGACGACGGCGGCGGCGCCCGCCATGAGAGCCCCTCTAGGCTCGAGCCACCGCGGAGAGGGGCCGAGCCGTGCGTCCGCTTGAGCCAACATGGCTACGGAGGAGAAGGAGTAGGAGGAGGAGGAGGAGGGAGGAGGGAGGAGGAGGAGGAGGAGGAGGAGGAGGAGGACCTCCTCATCCTCCCTTCTCCCCCGTCCTACCTATGGTGGTGGTGGTGGTGGGAAACTGGCGCATCAAGGGAGTAGGAGCTGGAGAAGGGAGAAGCTCAGCAGGCAGTCGCGCGGCAAGATGAGCAGCAAGTACAGCACCTGCATTGGGCGCCCGAACTGTCCGGGGTAGCTCGGGTCCGGTGCAACTCGGGCTCGGATCCCCGAAAAGCGGACCCGAGTGAGTCCTGACCCGAGCTACCCCCGATGATTCGGGGCTCTGGCTGCAAACGAAGAGGGGCAGGCAGGGGCCAGCAGGCTTCGTGGTCGGTGGGCAGCGCGATGCGTCGAGGGCGGCACCTCGGCCTCTGCCCCTCCGACGCCTCCAGAGCCGGGGCTCTTCCATGGAGCAGCCGAGAGCCAGTTCATGGGCCCGTAAATGCCAGTGTGCTGGCGTTGTGGATGCCATGACAAGGGACACTCCGACGTTCCCAGCATTAGGTCGGGAGTGTCCCCCTACAGACGGATTTTGGACGAAACATCACAAATAGTCAAACCAAAAAAGGGTTCAACAAAAACGCAACAAGTCGCCCCCGAAGATTTGACTATTTTTGACCTTTCCCCCTGTAGAGGACAGGCCCGACTTAATCCTAGCATCGAATTAAAGATGTGTTAAAAAAGACTTTAAACAAATGTGGCACAAATGCTTAACACATGCGTTTTACAGGTTTGAAACATGCGTCAGACATCTGGAAGTTGTTTGGCAGCATGCTTTCTCTCCATTGATCGACTTCCACAATGCTGTTGGATACGAGTGGGAAGACCCTTGGAGCGCCTCAGGCGCAGAAGATCCAGGGGGCGCGCCTGCAGCCGCCGCCAGTATCGAGCACGCGGGTGGTGGTGATGCCGATGCCGCCAGCGCCAATTCGGAGGCCAAGGACTTCGCCGCACAGGCGCCGAAGTGCACGGAGTACTTCATTCTATCCGACGGGGGCGAGGACGATCGGAGTGGCTTTCAAGGTGCGGGCGCGAGAATCGGCGCGGCCCGCTCCAGAAATCCTCCGCCCCAGGGACATGGTGACATCTCTTGGAGTGGCAATGCTGCTCTCGCCCCTTGCTGCCCGTCTTCCGCCCGCAGAGCCGCCCTCGTTTTGCTGCCGGCTGCCACCAGCCTTCCGCCCACTGAGGGACTTCAGCTCCTCGATCCCTCGAAGGCTAGGCCCTCCTGGGACCGTCCCAAAAACGTTCGCTTGGGAATAAGCCCCTCATCCGGATCACCCGATTACCCTTGCGCGAGGGTGAGATGCGCTGCTGTAACAGAAGCGAACGTACAAGCTCCAGAGTGTGGCATGATCGGCACAGACACATGGACATACAGAGCATTTTTAGCACACATAGACGGAGGGCACTAAGACTAACTCGCCCATATTATGGATGCTTACAGGGAGGAGTTCTTGCTTCGTGGGTCGCGGCTGCCGCCCCTGCGGCACGCTAGGTGTTGCAAGTTGGCAACGTGTTGCTCTGCATCGTGGGACGGGAGGCTGGGAAGAGCTCGAAACGCTGCTGTTTGGTGACTGGGACGTGCTTAGCCTGTCGCGTCGAAGCGTGGTGAGCCAGAACCGTCGCAAGACTTCCGTACGAGGCCGCAGTGCCTCCTACACCTCCAGCGAGCACTCTCGAGGATGTGTTACAGCATCGGCGATGCGTGGTGAGACTTTGTCCCGCCCTACGCCGCGCGACACATCCACGCACAGGGATCGAAGTCGTAGATGTATGCCCTGGCCGCACCAGGGACCCGCTGGAGATACAGCGTGCCATCAACACGCCACTAGCGAAGCCCCAACGTCACCACGGTCAATGCGGCCGAGGACATTCAAGTAAGGCGATGAGTGGTGAGTTTTCTCTAGTCCTCCTCCTCCTCCTCCTCCTCCTCCCGCCACCCCGTCCGTCCTCGCCTCCACTAGGCACGCAGGATCTACGGGTGACACACATACCTATTGCGGCAGTGCCAAGCTAGCTAAAACTTCGCATGCGCACGCTGCCAGAGTGGAAAGCGAAAGCCTCCGGGGACACCATCGATACCGCCTACACGCGTAATGTAACCTGCGACAATAATAATCATGCGAAAGTGCCGCCGAATTGGTGCATGCCGAATATGCGTGATCACGCATGGAGGCCGGACAACCCTTGCACTTTGCATCACCTTCCCGGCCGCCCGAATATACGACTGTGAGGCTCTGTGGGTACCTGCATTAGCCGGAGCCACTTAAGCAAAACGCCCTCCGGTGAAAGCTGCCAGGAACACTCCACGTGCGGGGTAGCTGGTCGAAGTCCAAAAATTAAGCAGGGACCGGCCGTCCTGGCATTCCTATAGTCCTACCACGAAATGCTCTTAGAACCCAAGTGTTCTAAGAACAGAAGCAACGTCCTTAGAACAGAAACCCGATGTGATAAAACAATACAGGCTCCGCCAGAAATGTCCTAAAAAGGTCTCGTGGAAGCTACAAAAAGGGTCGTAGAACATTGCCTGGTAGGGCTACTGGCGAGCCAGGACGCTTCGCCACTGCTTGAAGCTTGCCGACGACGTCCCAAAACAAAAATGTATTAGGCGACGTCCCAAGTAGGGCTACCGGCGTACCAGGCGAAAAACACACGCCAATTGCAGAAACTCACTGGGGACTGCACCGGCGCACTCGACACGCGTCGAGCGCCCCCGTGCAGCTGCAGACTTCCTCCGTGGACCTGCCCTGCCCTGCGTGGTGGGGGGGAGGCCTTCTGTCGGTGCCCGATGCAGCCTGCTCGACAAGATGCGGGCAACTCTCCCGCGCCCTCCTCGAGGCGGGCGCCGGAGGAAGGGCAAGGAGGGCGAGGAGGGCGCCCCGCTCCTCCCGATCGAGAGGAGCGGGGCGAACTAGGGGGCCACGTGCGAACCCTAACCCTACCCCCCTACGATTTCTGAGGGGGAGGGTGGGGTTCACTTCGTGCGGGGGCTCCCGAGCGAAGTGAACCCCACCCTCCCCCTCAGAAATCGTGGGGGGGTAGGGGTAGGGTTCGCACGTGGCCACCCACGAACGGCGCGCGACACCCCCGCCGGGAGGCCGGCCCGCGTGCCGCACGCTGGCCCTCTGCGCCACCGCCCGGGCCGGCGGGGCGCCCGGCGCGCCCGGGGCGCTGGGCGGCGGCACGCCGGCGGCACGCAGGGAGTGGCCCTGGGCAGGCGCGGCCTCTGGCGCGCGGCCACACCGGGGGCGCAGGCTGGGCCGGGCGAAGGGGGCGGGGGGGGACAGCAACGGGGGGGGGTTTTGAGAATCGCGTGCAGCTGCTTTTTTTCTGGCGCCTCCCAGCGCCGGAGGCGGCGATGTCTCGAGGAGTGGGCCCCTCGGTGGGGCCGAAACCAGCTGCATGCAGCAGAGTTCGTACCCCCCCTTTTCCCAACTCCCCCTTTCGTCTGGCCCGAGCAGGGTGGCCAACTCCAAGCGCGCAGTGAGCCGCTATCGCATCGCGCCCCGCGATCGGGGGGGACCTCAACGAGCCCGCACCAAAGGCAACTCCGGCGGAGGGTCACTCGTGTGGCCGAGCAGAAGCGTCCTGCACGGCCCCCCTTGGGGGCCGTCTGGCACTCCTGAGGACCCCACCAGCTCCTCCTCCTCCTCCTCCTCCTCGCTCCTTCCTCCTCCTCCTCCCTCCTCCGCCTCCTCCTCCTCCTCCTCCTCCTCCTCCTCCTCCTCCTCCTCCTCATCCTCCTCCTCCTCCTCCTCCTCCTCCTCCTCCTTCCTCCTCCTCCTCCTCCTCCTTCCTCCTCCTCCTCCTCCTCCCTCCTCCTCCTCCTCCTCCTCCTCCTCTCCTCCTCCTCCTCCTCCTCCTCCTCCTCCTCCTCCTCCTCCTCCTCCTCCTCCTCCTCCTCCTCCTCCTCCTCCTCTCGGGCGAGTCAAAGAGTGCCACAAACGGCAACAACGTTCGACGCGGTGGGCGGCAGCAAGTCTGGGACACCATCAGTTGCCTGCCTCGACGCCTGGCAGCTCCGTCGGCGCAGCGATGTCGGCCACCACGGACGTGCTGTAGATTTGTTGCGTCATCCCCATGAGCTCCTCCACATCGAGAGCGTCATCATACATGATGATCTGATGCACCGCCTCCTGCTCCTGCGCATGACGATCTGATGCCCTCGACACGCCCTGCCTGCTGGCGCGTGCCGTTCTGGGCACGCCATTCACTCCAGCGACACCCTGCTGGTCATCGAACTCCTGCGCGTCGAACTGCGAGTCGGCTTCGCTACCAGAGCCGCTGTCGTGGCTGTGCCGCTGAGAGACGCCGCGTGAGTCTTGAGATGCGTTAGGTACGGCGCTGGGAGTAACGAAAATGTTGTCGGCAGTCAACGGCTCTGACTTCGAGTCCGAAGGCAGCGGCGGCAGCGTCTCACTCGCAGGAAGCGCCCGCGGACGCATCATACGCGCACTGTCCAAGGCCTGGAGAGCGGCTTTGTCCATGGATTTGTCGACTGTGAGGCCAAGGCGCCTCAGTGTGGGATTTACCTTGATGGTCTCTGTGAACGCGTTCACCACCCTGACGTCCACTTTGTTGTCTATCATCCATATTGTCTGCAAGCACCAGTTCCCCATCAGCGCCTCGCCAATCAGCGCCCCGCCGAGGCTTCCGATGCGATTTCCATCGACGTAGAGCTCCCGCAGGCGGCGGTTCACGGTGAGCATCTTGGCGAACTCCGCAGCGCCATCGTCCCTGAACCTGTTCAGCCCCACGGACAGCTCTGTCAGCCCGCACTGCTGGGCGCTCAGGCCTTGCGCAATCAGCTCGGCCCCTTCGGAGCCGAGGCCACACTTGCGGAGGTTCAGGATCCGGAGAGACGCGTTGCTGATCGGGTGCGCCGAAGAAGGGGGGGCCCGGCAGAGGTCGGGCCTGTCCCCCTACAGAGGGGGATTCTGGACGAAAAAAAACAAATACCAATAAGAAAACAACAATTGTCAAACTAAATAACAGAAAAATCGTCCTCAGACTATGTTTTGATTATATTTGAATATTCCCCCTGCAGAGGGACAGGCCCGACTTAAACATGACTATTCGGAGGTCCGCAAGGACTTCTCGAATCTGCGCTGCACTCCCCGCGCCGTCGCGCGGAGCGCGCCGTGGGACGGCGCTGCAGGCGCCGTCGGGGGGGGGGGGGGGGGGGGCAACACCGACTCGAGAACTGCGCGTGGAGCCCCATAGAGCTTACGTGTGTGTGTGTGTGTGGTGTGTGTGTGTGTTGTGTGTGTGTGTGGTGTGTGTGGTGTGTGCGTGTGTGTGTGAGTGTGAGTGTGAGTGTGTGTTCGTGTGTTGTGTGTGTGTGCCGTTTTTCTTGTCCGGAACTCCTTACACCTGTGCTGCATCTTCTGGGGAACCCCACAGCTCCACTTTCCGAAGGTGTCGAAGGTCCATGTCGAGTCCATGTCGAAGGTGTCAGGTCCACGCCGACACCACGAATGCGCGTCCGATCCACGCCGAATCGACGCCGAATCTGCGTCGCACCCACGACAGAATAGTTACAAGAAAAGACTGTCATCAATCATTTGCAAGGCATGCAAGGTCGACCGATGGGGAGACCAAAAGATACCGATACCTCTACTCCCTCTCTCCCGGGGTATGTTCTGGCTAGAACTTCGAGGCGAATTCAACGGTGGCGACGAAGGCCTCCGAGGAGGTCCCGAAAGGGGAAATCTGGCGAAGGGTCGATATGGGTACCTGTTCCTCCTCTGAACCGAAGTGAACCGAAGATGCAACGTAAGTGACAAACGTGACCTGGCTCTTACACGCACGAGGGAGCCGCGAGGGACAGGAGGCCCTGGGAGGAGGGCATCGCCAATGGACAGGGCAACGGCCGCAGGGAGGGGGGGGAGACCCGCCTGGGAGGCCAGGGGAGGCGCCGAGGGCAACTGCAGGAGGCCACGCGCGAACCCTGCCCCACCACCCCACGATCTCTAAGAGGGGAGGCGGGGTCCACTTCGCCCGGGACCTCCCGAGCGAGGCGAACCCCACCCCTCCCCCCTCAGAAGTCGTGGGCTGGCGGGGCAGGCCTCGCGCGTGGCCCCCTGGCCAAAAAGGGCAGCGGAGCGCACGACGAGCCGCGAACCATGGAACACCGAGCGCGCTCCGAGCTGCGCACGAGGAGAGCCCACCCCCCCTCCTGGGCGCGCCCGCGCTGGGGAGCGCCAGGCCCACCCCCCGGGCGCCCTCCGCGCCGACCCTGTTCCACGACAGCGTCAGCTGCCGCAGCCCGGTGTTCGCGCCGAGCATCCTCCCGAGGGCCAGGCCCCCCGGGCCGCGGATCCTTCCGGTGGCCCAGGAGGTGGGGGCCCGGAGGGGCGGGGCCCCGAGGACGAGGAGTCTACGACGGTGTCTATCGGACCCTATGGGGTCCCTTCCCATCCTCGGGACCCCATCCCTCGGCGCCCCATCCCTGCGCCACCAGACATCCTGTTCTCGGCCAGGTCCAGCTGGCGCAGCGCGCAGTTGCCTCTCGACGGCGCGCACGGGGACCAGCTGGGTGGCAGCGGGGGTCGGCAAAGGAGAGGCTGGCAGGGGGGGGGGGGAATCGGCTCGCGCGGCTCGCTCTCCTGGCGCCTCCCAGCGCGGCGAGGAGGAGGAGCAGGGGGAGGGCGAGGAAAAGGGGGGAGGAGGTCCTCTGAGAAGGGGGGCGGCCCCCAGAGAGGGCGAAAGAACGCTCCCGAGAAGGCACACGGGCCCCTCCCTGCCCCCCCCTCCTCCCCGCGCCACCCTCCGCAGGGCTGGACCTAAACGTTGTTTCCGTGTTGATGTCGTTGCGTTCTGCGCTCTGGTCTCCCTATTCTCCTGCACCTCCCCCTGCCAGAACGACAAACGAAAGACAAAACACAGCCCGAAGTCCAGCCCGGACCCTCCCTGCGCGCCGCCGGACCTCCCAGGGCGGCCGCCAGCGCGGTCGCTCCGGCGTCTCGGATGCCGTTCCCGGTCAGGTCCAGCAAGTTGAGCTTGCTGTCGCCCGCGAGGCTCTGTGCCAGAAGCGCCGCGCCCTCGTCGCCGACCCTGTTGCCGTCCAGCTCCAGGGCCTTCACGGCCTCGGAGCCCGCCAGCACCTCGCACAGCTCCCGGACCTCCCGCGGCCCCAGCTGCTGGCCGGAGAGCTCCACGCTCGGCACCTCTCGGGGGCGGCACCGACAAGACGTGTCATCATCTGTGAAGTGCGGGCGGCAGGGGCGCAGGGACCTTTCGGGAGGCCGAAATCGGGATCTTTCGGGCGGCGGGCAGCCAGTGAGCGCGGCGGAGGACGGGCCGCAGAGGCAGGGACACAAGGGCACCCTAGATTTGGGTCGGGCGTGCCCTCCTCCAGGTGGATTTTCGACGACCGATAAAGATAGTCCAAACATGCTCAAGCATGCTGAAAGATCGTCGAAAACAAAACCCCCCCGACTATGTTTGGCTTATCTTTGAACTTTCCCCCTGTCGAGGGACAGGCCCGAACTAACCCTGGATGAAGGTGCGCGTCCTTACTGGGCGCGTTGACTGTACCTTAACACCGCTCCTCGCCGACGAACTCTTCGTGGGCGCGTTCTGCCCAGGGTGCTGAGGCGAATCCTGCCGCAGGGGGGACGGCCCCACAGGCAGCCCCAAGAGGGAACGATAAGGACGTCACGACGCGATTGGATTAGGCCGGGCATGTCCTCCTACAGGGGAAGTTGGACGGAAAATTAAAAACATTCCAACAATGTTGAAATATATTGTCAGAAATATTAAGAACCAATCGTCCCCTGACTACTGTTTGACTATGTTCGAATATGCCTCTTGTGTAGGGACACGCCCGACTTAAACTTCTGGAGTATCTCAGGGCCCTGGTCCCTGGCGCCCTTCCGAAACAAAAACACCCAAGCAATCTGGGAAAGCATCACTCATATGACTTCCTGCTGCTCCGTAAGAGGAGCGAAGGCGAGGGAGAAGTATCGGTAATGTGAGTTCACGATATTTTGTCAGCCGTCGGGGCAAAGCCTACCACATGCTTGAACGGCCCAAGATCTCTGCAGCCGCAGCTCTCGACATCGCCCGAATCACAGCAGGCAAAAACGACTGACTCGCCGCCGCAGCAACCGCGGGGGCAGAGTAATGAGCCTTGCGCCCTGGGAGTGCTGTTCCATCTCATGAGGGGTGCCAAGCGGGAGTGCACCCCTCAGTGGGCCCTGGAAACGACAAGGCCGTCTTTTTACCGGTTCCGTTTTGCCGTTTTTGTTGCCGGTTCCGACTCCGTTTGTTTACCGGTTCCGTCGCCATTCGTTTACGGGTTCCCGCTCTGGTTCCAATCCTGAAACCGTTTTTGTTGCCGTTTCCGGTCGCCGTTTTTTTGCCGTTTCCGGTCGCCGTTTTTTTGCCGTTTCCGTTTTCAAGGGACATTGTTTCGGAAACGGTGAAGAAACGGCCCTGCAGCTTCCGGGGCCCACTAAGGTCCTTCCTAAATAATTCCGGAGAATACCGGGCCCGCCGCAGGCGCCGATCTTTCGTCAACACAGTGTGGGTGGGTCGCGGGTGGGTCGCGGGTGGATCGCGGCTGGGTCGCGGGGTGGGTCGCTGGCGGGTCGCGGGGTGGGTCGCGGGGTGGGTCGGGGTGGGTGCGTCGCGTGGGGGACGACGACAATCTCGCCAACAACGACAGTCATGTTAAAACTATCTGATCGCGTGTCGTACAACATTTAGATCCCATACCCTCGATACCCGGCCTCTTCGTTTTCGATCATACCCTCCCTTGGGGTATCGGAGGTTGGGGGGCGAGATCGAAGTGGGACGGAGAGCCCCCCACCGGAAAATCGGTTTCGGTTTCGCGTTCGTGTCGTCCGTGCGGGCGAGGCGAATCTGCGTGGGCGGGCGAGAAGAACGACCCCGCTGTTGCGAGGGCGGGGCAAAACACACGTCCGACCCATTGCTGGTGGGATGGCGGTGGCCGGGCTGTCGAGCCGTGGTGTCCCTGTGGCTAGGGCGGGGCAAGACGAGTGTCCGAAGCTCCCCCAGGTGGGTGGGCCGTGGCCGTCGGTGTCCCGTGGGTGTCCCGTCGGCATCCCGTCGGTGTCTGGTCGGTGTCCTGTCGGTGTCCGAGCCGTGTTGGCAGCGACTCGGTCACCGAGTCCGACGGGCTCGGGCTACTGGCGCGCAGTTCACTTAGGGGCGATGGCGAGTGCAGAAAAACCATCACATCGCCATCAACACTCAACAACCACAGTCAGCAAGCACCCATCACAGCGAAGTGGCAGTGGCACTGCTTTGGCTCCATGGTGCCCCGATGGTCCCGACCGTTCTCAGCGCCACTCAGTGTGAGATCACTAATGGGATCGATCGCTGGATCCATCGATACTAAGAACGGCCGCAAGGTCGATGGTGATATCGATCGAGTGAAATCGATAGCGGGGTCGCTGTTGACATCACATCGCGGCGCAACATCGTCATGACGCGTCGTCGCCAACTCGAGGGCGCGCCGCCAACATCGTCACCATCACACCCATCACAGTTGCCAGCAGCTGGTTCTGTCCCTCCCCCCGCAACCTCCTTATCACCCGGAAGGGGTGGTCGACTTCACGTTCAGGAGGGCGGCCGCCAGCGGCGGCAGCGAGGCGGCACGACGACGACGACGACGGCGACGGACCGACGACGACGCCGAGCCAGCCAAAAGGGAAAAACAAAACGAGTACAGTCGGGCCGC